AAATATATTAGTAGTAAAAAAAGATAAGGAATATAGATAACGTTTAACTCTTTCATAATTTTATTATTTCTCTAATATTTAATATTTGTTTTTCTTTCCTAATATTTTTTCCATTGTCCGCAGAATCTAAACTCTCGATAAACATTTCCTTCGCGTTGAGTTTCTTGAAGATGTGCGATTTCAGCATTTATGAAACACTGTTTCTGGTGATAAAAGAATATCAACAGACTGTCCTTATCTCTAGACATAAACGATCGTAAGATGATTGTATAGCGCTAGTGTACACGAGGCAAAGATTATATTTCGCTTTTAGACGCTTGCGTCGGCAACGTCCCTTTATTTCCCGTAATTTCTTGGATAATTCAACGGATTAGTGCGCTCCGTATATGTAGTCGCTCGCCCCGAGGCCGCTCCCGTGTAATTGTTATACACCACGTAATACTGATCGTGCGGAAGAAAAAAGGAAAACGACAAGAAGCTGAAGCTTCACGGTGCATTTTGATGATTATTACCTCTAGTCCCTCGGTTTTTGCCGGCCGAACCGGTTTTTAATAAAATTCAGCTCTTCGATTATGTCGTCGGATGTACGATGCAATCGGAGAGCGCATCGCCCGGCAAGGTTTGACAGAGATAGATGAGCGAGCGAGATAAAGAGAGAAGAACAGAGCGAACAAGAGACAAAGAGAGTCAGCGAGTCAGAGATAAAAAGAGAAAGAATAGAGAAAGAGTGGCAGACAAAGAAAGAGAGCGAGTGAAAGAGAGAGAGACAATGAGAGAAAGAAGTGAGTGGGGGACAAAGAAAGTGAGAGAGAGAGAGAGAGAGAGAGAGAGAAGCAGGGAGAAGCGAGGGATAGAGGTACTTAATAGAGAAAGAGAATTGCAATAGAAAAGAGCGAGGCAGCGCGAACGTCATGTTATTCGCGATCACGTACTCGCCTCCACGTAAGCGAAACAAAGAGATCGATCGGTCGAGTTGCGGGGAGCGACGACCATAGCTATGGTTCCTTTCTCTCTCTCTTTCTCTTTCCCGATTTACGGAAACGTAATTCGCTTCTCTTGCGGTCTCGCGACTCGGTCTCGCGACTGATCGCGAAATCAATGTGTCTTGATTGACGTGTGAATGAGTTAATAATAAAGTTGAGATCGCGCGCTGCCCATCAGGCCGCGGGGGCCAGGCATTATCGGGAGTTTGTTTGTACGAGAAGCTCAGCAACCGCGCAGATAAAAACGGCACTTCCGATAGAGATGTTATTTTCCAGAATCTACAGGCATGTTGTTCCATCAGTCCTGCGTTTTGCGAATCGTCTGATTTGTACATATATTCGTTGTTCCTGAACATTTTTCCGCGAAGATATCCGCAGGGATCCATTAAAGAGTCATTGCAAATCCGTATGGGTCTATTCCAGACAAACTTGCTTAAACGTATGCATATAAAGGAAGTTATCTAATCGCATTTCACGTACGTAGAAATGCGATTAGATAATTTTCTTTAGATGTACATTTACGCGGATATACAAGTTTGGCTGGATAGATCTTAAAGGATCATTTACACTGGTCGTAACTGTTAGCTTACTTGTTGTAAACTATGAGAAATTAATCATTCATCAGTCAAACGTGAGGAGAATAATAGACTTCATTTTCCTCACATTATGATTTATCTTAATTGATCTTTAATTATTTGATCATGCAGCTGCGAGATTCATAGCGTTTTCCATTAGGAAAACTAGTGCAACACTGACGAATTGAATGCAAATTGATATTTTTAATGTTAATAAATAATTTAATTCTTTTAACGTTATCGTGACAACAAAGAATACGTAATTAAAAGGTTTGAATTATTTATTAACACTGAAATATGTGAATTGATTTGCATTCAATTATACTCTTGTCAGTGTGTATCATATTAGTTTTCCTAGTGGAAAATATTGTACTATCGGTCTTTAGGAGCTTTAGAACCATGGCACTCAGAAATACTTAAACAATAAAGAAATCAACATGTTGGATTTGCTACGCTAAAAAAAAAATTTACTAAATTTTAATAAATATACATTTAAATAGTACTAACTAAGGTTTAAGGGTTATTACATCTATTATGTTTCGGGACTCATCAAACGACATCTCACTGCGGATTATTTTATCTGTCTGATACCGTTCAGCCGATTAAGCGATTGTATTTATAAATGCGCGATAAGCAAGAGTGTAAATAAAGTCGATCACGTTTGTTGATCCTCAGCAATGATTTGGACCTGCGGATATTTCATTCGACGGATTTTTTGAGTCGCTGGCAGCATTTTGAATTTATTACAGATCATCCGAACCTGTCAAGCAGGTTTTCGAATCTTTGCGTTGTCACAGATTCTTAGGACCGGTGATTCTTAGGATCCGGTATTGTTGGGCCCCTCTAGTATTTTATCCACAAAGACCCTTTTGGAGTCACAGGTGTTCGCTACTCCTTTGCGTGTTTAATATATTTCCTGGATATGTATTATGGAATTATTCGATATGAATTTCGATCAAAATTGTTCATATCATTCCTTAGATTTCTATTATATTTCCCGTGTTCGGTCGCTTTCTCGGATTCGTCAATCTAAAATTCAAGGAGTTTATCCTATTTCAATATTTTTGTCAATTCATGGAGTTGAAAAAAATATCGGATAAACAGGAAGTATATTTTCAACACGTTTATTTCGAGTGCTTCTAAGAGAATTGCTTATAATGTGTTTTGAAGTCGAGATGTATATAAAAAGGTAATTCTATTTTCTCGTTCCCTATTTAGCACCCAGTCGCTTTCTCATTTTCGTCAATTTAAAATTCACTCCAAGAGTCGCGAAGCATATCGAAATAACGGATAAACCGAGGAATAAACAGAAAGATTATTATGTTCCACGCGTTTATCTCGATACTTCTAAGAGAATCATTTATAATTTGTTTTGCAGTCGAGATGTATAAAAAGATAATTCTATTCCCTGTTATCATTCGCGGCCGCTTTCTCATATTCTCCAATTTAAAATTCACTCCAAGAATCGCAAAACATATTGGGATAAATCGAGGAGAGAGAGAGAGAGAGAGAGAGAGAGAGAGAGAGAGAGAGAGAGGGAGAGAGAGAATAAAAACAGAAAGATTATTATCTTCAACGCGTTTATCTCGAGTGCACCCAAGAGAATTACTTATAATTTGTTTTGAAGTCGAGATGTAGAAAAAGATAATTCTTTCCTCTGTCATACACCGTTCTCATTCAGTAATCCATTTATCTATAGCTCTCATCCCGCGATTTCCATAATCGCGGCGGTTTCTCGCCCGAGCGCGTAACTCCCGCGAATATGAAGCTTTTATACTCTGAATGCATCTCGGTCAGATCTATTGTCCGAACGTGACCGTCTTTGTATTAAAACTAACGGCATCCGTAAACGGCACGAGCGCGCTAATCTTGTAACTCTCGTTACATAAATCCTCCTCTCGCGTGCGACCCAACGTGTCCTCCGGATTAGAGGCCGATAAAAAAAAAGACACTTATCACGTACGATCTATTTGTCAACGTGCGAAAAATAATTCTCGTCGACGAAAGGAAACAACATTTTCTCCGTTTCGTAACAAACGTGACGGGGCGACTTACGGATGGAAAAATAGAGTGATATCGAAATAAATCGACGCGAACGGTGTGTCGAATCGGATATTACTCGTTTTTAAAAAAAGAGAAGTAATGATAAATCGCGCACTCTAAGTGACAGTAAAAAAAAATTACGATTAAAAAAAGTAGATACTCTTTATACGCGACGATAAAATAAATATATCGTGTCGAGTGAATCAACGTTCGAAATGCTTTTCGTGAGACCGGTAGTAGAGCTTGCTTAGATCAAGCATAGCCGTGAGCAAGCGCTTCTTAATACAATTGGAAGTCTTACGCAATACGATTTTCACAATCAGCTTTTATCAGGTTCTACATTTTTTTATATTTATTATATTTATATTTTTTTTTATATTTATTATCTTTAAATATAAGTTCTTTCTTAAATGTAACTTTCTTATCGAAATTCTCGTAAAAAAGTATTTTTTTTTTAAATCGTGATTCTTAGTACAATTTCCTTAGAAGAATTTCCTAGAAATTTAAATTTGTTGGTCAATTAATCACTTATTTTGAGTATTGTTAAAATATTGTTAACAGTAATTTTAATACTGAAAATAAGCAATTAATTGGCCAATATTAAATTTCTATAATGGTTGGAAATATTGAATATAATTAGAAATCTTATGCAATATGCGTACGGTTTTCATTTTCATAATCAGTCTTTATATCGAGTTCTACATTTTCTTTTTTATATATCATTCGTCTATATCTTTAAATACAAGTTTCTTATTGAAATTTTTGTAAAAAAAAACCTATTTTAAATCCTGATTCTTAACATAATCAGAAATCTTACGCAATGTGATTTTCACAATTAACCTTTATAAGTTTTATATTTCCATTTTAATTTGTTATTCATCTACATCGTTAAATATGAGTTTCTTATAAAAATTCAAAAGAAGACTTTTAAATCATGATTCTTAACACAATCCAGAAATCTTACGTAATGTATGTGATTTTTATAATCAGCTTTTACGAGTTCTGCATTTTCTTTTTGATTTATCGTTCTACGTCTTTAAGATCTGAGTCTACAAAATTTTTATCGAAATTCTCGTCATCAAAAGAAAAAATTGTGATTGTGAAAAAATTTAAAATTGTGATTCTTAACAAGGAAATCCTACAATACGCAATTGTCACAATTAGCTATGTTGTGAGTTTTATATTTTCTCTTTGATTTGTCATTTGTCTACGTACTTAGATAAGTTTTTTTATCGAAAATTCTTGTCAAAAGAAGACTTTTTTTTAAATCGTGATTCTGTCGTGACGACTTTTTACCATAACCTTCGCTACAGCCAGGGTCAGCTGATCCCGCGCCCCACAGCAAAACACAACACCTTCTGAATTTCTAAAACAGGTTTTTCTCCCCTCCGGGATGCAGCCAGAAAGGAGGTGTGTATGTACGCTCTTCGTTTTTTTACATCGGGAGCGCGGATCTCTCGATTTTTATCCAAATCGCCTACGCTTAAAAAACCTGCTACCGAGCGAAGGGCAGTAATTTCACCTGCGGTTTAATACGCGCGTCTCGTCGCGGCGTTAAAAGCCGCGATAAAAGGTTACGCGACGTAATGCACGTCGACGAGAGATGAGAGTAGACGAGAGAGAGAGAGAGAGGAGAGAGACAGATAGAAAGAGAGAGAGAGAAAGACAGAGAAAAGAGGAGGGAGAAAGAGAAGAAAAACAAAACGAGCATCGTGGGTGAAAAAAAACTCGATGTACCGTCGTCACCGGCGGCAACAGCGGATAGATCCCCTCCGAGGAGGATCGCACTCGCACGTTCTCGCACGCTCTCGCTCGGTCGGGATGCCGAGCGTGACCGAAGGCCGGCGCGAGTATCGCCGGAAATGGCCGAAGTGCGGACGTACTGCCGAAACGTCACGTAGGCGATGTTGCTAGGCGGTCGACTGTAGGCGACGTGGGGCGAAGGGAATGGCGGGGTATCCTCGAGGTGGGATCGCCCGTATAAAAGTCGCGTCAGCAACCGGCGGCCGATCAGTCGAAAGGGTGAATTTGCCGTGGATCTTTGTCGAGAGCTCTCAATTCGCAGTCGCTCCGGTGAAAGCTTTCGGTGTTACGGATCCGGTTGCCTATTGTCCGTCATCAATCTGTTCTCCGTGGCCGCTTTCCACGCGTTTCCAACAGCCTCGTCCATCGTTCGCCGTCGACATCTCTTTCTCGAGGAAAATCGCGTTGCCGTCCGGCAAGGCCGACGAGAAAGCCGTGTCCATTGTGCGTCCGCCGCTGCAAGACTTTCTCGCGAAATCATGGAGGTCCTGCCGTGTCCTGTCAATGTGGACTTCAGCAACACCCGAGGTGAGTGCGTACAGATGTAACGGCTGTCTCGCGATGCCGGTTTCCCTTTAATTCCTCCGTTCTCGCGCTTCAATTGTCGGCCTCTCCGTTTTCTCCTCCATCGAGCGAGCCGTTGTTCTCAGCTGACAACGCCGGCCGCAATCAGCTGATTTTTGCTTTCGCGACACGTTTCGTCGGCTGCATCGCTCGAAAAATTTACTCCGATTTCTTAATATGGACGAGGATTCGATTTCGAGGCACACCGGCGATTTACCGGCGAAACGTCGAATTATAGTTGCGTCCGCGTCGGGCTTTTGATCGTCCGAGGGGGAGGGGATGCCCTTCGCTGTCGTTTTTCCATGTTCCTCGATTGTTCTCTGTCTAGCTTTCCACTTACAGTCTTCGGCGTGTTTATAAATGGAATTTTCCTAAAATTTAGCGCTTTCGATCGTCCGGTAAATAAATACGGATTAACGGACACAAAGAGAGTACTTCAGTTTAATTGCTCTTTCGAATTATAGAATACAAACAAGATTTCGTCAGCTGATGATGCAAAAACTGTAACGTGAATGTATTCCTTTTATTAAGCAATCGATCATATTTTATAACTCGCTTTATTGTGAGATTTTTTTATTTTCGATTCCAGCAGTTTTGATAATAAAAACGAGAGCTCCAGTAATAGAAACGTTTCAGAAACGTTAGAACACAAAACGGAAGAGTTGATTGTCCAAGTGGCATAGAACGATTGTGATTTTTGTTAAGCGCGATAAGATAGATAAAAAAATCGAGGTCAAACGAGTTCGTACGAGCTTACCTCTTCGCCGGCCGCTAGAAACAATGGTCGAGGCAGGCTCGAGATAGAATCGACCGAGTGATCGACATACGTCTATTTCTATCAATGTAGATTAACTTTCAATTTGACTTACTTTTTTTCGAATTCTTAGGAGCAGAAAAAAATTTCTAGAAAATAATTAGAACTGAAAAAGAGTAATAAATAAATTTATCAACTAAGGCTAAAAATTAGATTTATTTATTAAATAATAAATTTATCTCATATTTTTTAAATTAACAGGACATCACTATAGTTTCATAAAAAAATAAGTTAAACCGAACTAGAAAAGAGCAATAATAAAATAAATAAATTATTTATCAATTGAGGCAAAATAATTATAAATTTATTTATAATTGTTTAAATAATAGATTTATTTCATATTTTATAAATTAATGAGCAGGACATTGCTATAGTTTGATAAAAAGTAGATTAAAACTAATCTAATAAAATGGTAGAAACAGGCAATAGAAGAAAAAAGAAATGTTACAGTTCAGATATTCTTTCGACGATCACGCATTGATTAAAAAAATGAAATGCATGGCGAGGTGGGAGACTCGACGTTGGTTGCGTCCTCGCTCCTAACGACTGTTCTTTGTTATGTTGCACAGACGTCGGTTTTAAATAATAAAACGATGATCTCATCACTTGATTAATCGGGATTATATGCTGCGATCGAATTAATGCGAGCGTAAAATTAGCTAATATCTAGAATCTACTTGCGGAAACAAGAATCGGCATCGAAGCACTGATTAAAATTATATTTGAGTTCGGATTATATTTAGATAGAATGGCAGATAACGTGAATCATCATCGAGAAGCAAAATATGTTTTTTCGCCTATGGCTTTCGATTACATCCGATGATATCGGTTGATTTATTAATATCTAAGATTACGTCAGTTCCCACTTTTTATCTCGGAAGATATTAGATAAATAAGAGGCTATTATATATATATATGTATATATATGTATACTTTTCATATATTTTGTTATGAAAAGTATTTTTTGGGCGAAAGTTTGTGGGAAAGTTAAATTACGAATTATTATTATCCTAAATAATAATTTTTATTTAACTAAAAGAATTGTTATTTAAGATAATAATTCATTTTTTAGGATAAACTATTATTTATCCTAAATGTGTAATTTAATAATTGTTTAATTTGCATTAACGAGACAATTAGTTCAAATTAATTTTATTTAGGTTTTGAAGTAATTGGGAGAATGACTGTTGAGTTGTCTGTAGGCTTGAAAATAGAAGAAAAAGTGATCTGCCACTTTCTTTTCAATTGACCGCTTTAACGTTTAGTTTATTCACTGGGAAGCTGAGAGAGCGCACGCGCTTAATTTCGTTTAATTAATTGTTACAGCTGGAAACGAGACGGACGAATTGGACGGTGCCTGTCAGGCGTTGGCGAAGAGGCTGGAGGTTGAACTCAGGAGGGCTAAACACGCCCAGCTGGCTTGCGGCGAGGTTCTCCTACCTGCCGATTTGCTGCCCAAGATAGCCAAAGATGTACTTACGATGGCAGAGAATGAGCCCTGCGGCCTTCGGTAAGTAGAATTTTCCATGTTGCCGAAATAACCCTTCCCTTTCTCGAGTGATTCGAATTCGACCAAATCAACACGATCCGCGAATCCAGATAAATATTATTTCGCGCAACAAGTGTCCATCTGGAAAATATAGAAAAGCTTTTCTCCAAATTGTTTTTTTTTTTCGCGAGTAATGTTATAGGAAATATCGTTAATTGTATAAAATATTTGGAGCGATTTTTTTTTCCAATGAAAATTTGATTGAATTATATATATTTTTTTCATATTTTTTAATAGTTTTATTCGGTTATTAAAAAGATCGATGCTAAAAATAAAAGTGTGTTAAACTTTCCTCGAGTATCTCGATTCGTTATTGCTGTAAACGTTTTTCCTGAATAAATTGATATATTGTCTAAATTTTCAATATCTTTGAAAAATTGATGTTTGCTTGTTTCAGAGGCTGTACGTTGTTCATCAGCTTCGAAACGGATAGCATGTGCCGCAAACTGTCGAGAATACAGTGCGATCCCAGTACTGTGTCGACGTTCGAGCTCTATCTCACGCTGAAACAGGATCATACATCCTGGCACATGCTGCTGCCTCAATTCTTAAAGTGAGTATACATTTAATAAAGTAGAATCTTGCAATTAGAATCTGATTTAAATCACTTTAAATTACTTATGTTGCAACTTAATTTTATATAAAGTTATTTAACTTATTCTTTTGTTTGACTATCTTTAGACTGAGATAATATTGTAGATAATATTCTAGATTCTTTTGTTATACTTTGTAATTAGCTGTTTTTATTTACATATTTACTTCGATAACATGAAGTGGTATTGCAATACCGCCTTCTTCACTTAGATTGTATGATTAGATTGTATCTGAATAATTTTTATCCGTTCAGCTTTTCCGTTTCCACAAACTTCGCGTTGCAAAATATCGTACATTTTGTAGATAATGCGATTAGCATGATTGTCTGATGTAAAGAAACTGAAAACGATTTGTTGTTTTTTTTTCCAGAAATCTCACACGTGGCGGTACCATCATGATCAGTAGGGATTTCACTTTGCAAAAGAAGAAACTCTACAGGTCTTTCCAGCAATCTCATTGAAGTATCTCGGGATCACATACCGGAGTTTTGCACGTTGTAACGATCACCCGTTTTGCCTAAACGGGTGCGGCCATTTTTGTCAGTTAATTGCCCTATAGGCGTTGGCCAAATTCATACAATATCGAAGACCAGGAAAGAAAAAAAACTAAGACGGCGGAAGCAGAGGACCTGAGGTTAGATTTCGTCGTTGTAATGGCACGCTGTAAAATTCGCGTATCATGGTCGCGATTATGCGAGGTGTTGCGTTTAACCCTTTAACTTGGAAATTACATTTCAATTTTCTATATAAATGACACATTTTACTTATAAGAAACAGTAGAGTTTTTGAACAAAGGTACTTGCACGTACAAGTGCAGGAGATACTGAAATTGATCTGTGTGTTTAGAATTTATTCAATGGATGTGTAAAGAAATGAAATAGTTCGTAGAAATGCTGCTTTACGGTGTAAAAATATTGCAGTTTGAACACAACAGATTTACGAAAAGTTAGATCTTGCGTTCAAAATCTAGTGATGTATAGATCTAAAAGATGAAGAATCTATATGTTCACAGATCTAAGTTCTATTATTAGTTAAAAAAAAATTGAATCTAACGAACAAAAATCCAGATATTTCAACCTATAAGATTAATCAGGGATTAAAGAATTCAGTTGAATTATATTTAATTGTAATCCAGAAAATAAGTAAACGATTAGATTCGCTAGAATTAAAAAAAATATTTGCAAAGCTAGTTTATAAGATATGTAGAATTTGAAGATCGTTGGAATTGAGGATCGTAGAATTTAAGCTTTCCAAAATCTAGGGATTTGGAGTTAGAAGTATTGTAACGGTAAGGATGAATCTTAACATGTTTTCACTGTTGAATGGCGAGTCAGTTAAAGGGTTAATGACAACACCATCGCTTTTTTGTTCTGCTGTCACCATGCAATACTGTATTCAAGGAGAGAGGCCTATTACGCGTTCGATAATTGTGATAGCGCGCGAGACAAGTTCTAATAGTGGTAGATCTTATATCGCGAGGAGTGGTCTCTCGCATCTTCGTTCTTGAAGAGGATATGTGATTATAAGACTTGTAACAAATTTCACGTGATACGTAGCAAGTATAATTAGTTTTTAGAGCGCGTTTTACTGATTAATCATAGTCAGGTAGCTATTAGTCGCGTCGGATGTTTAGTGATGATCCTTCGAAGCTCGTGTGTGTACGTCTCTCACGGACGAGCACATATTGTCCATTTTTCATTGTGAAATGTGAAATGATTATGCTGGAATATGTGGCAGCATATTCTCCAAATAGTAACCTTTTATGGAAATCTTGCAGGATAGTCCCAGAGAGAAATAGATCCTAATGAGACTATCATTTTGTGATTAATCAAGTCACTATTGATATTAACATAAGAATAATTCGAATATATAATCATATAATCGAATTATCTTACATTGAGAAGCGTAAGAACTCGAATAATAATTCATATTTTTCAGTTAATTTTTACATTTTCAATTTTCGAAAACAAAATGTTTGTCTTAAAAATCAACAAAAGTAATTTCAGTAGGATGTTCTCATAATGCACATTTTTTTGGGACATCCTGTATATCCTGTTGGTAGATGATACAGATGTTCAGCCCATACCGTCATTCCATTCGATCGATCTTTCTCCCTCGTCATTTTCTCCCTTCATAACAGTCGCTGTATGAAAAATCTCATTACTTTATAATAACATCTTCTCTCGATGTCGCGATGCTGATGATCATTTCTGCGATATCATTAATAAATATATTAATATTTGTCTCATTACCGGGTGATTCGTCTCGACAGTAATTTATTTAAGTCGAATTTGTCGGCGCAAAGCAATACGGCTTTCGCCTTCTGTATTGTTAGTGCATAATATTTTGTTTCAGTTAACTTTCAATATTTCGCGTTTTGAGATTTTGGTTCTGCGAGTATGAAATTATTTCGATGAATTCTGTGAAAAGTTCAAAGCTTGTGAAACTCGTCACAGATTTTTCGTTTAGTTTGCGGGGCTAAGAGAAGAACCTTTAACGAAATAGAGTAAAGCGGTGCAATTTCTAAATATATCTTAGACTTATTACATTAAGTGATAAAAACCAATCTTACTGTCTAACGGATAGTTAAAATTGTGTAAAATCGTATGCAGACTAATGGTATGCGCAATTATATATCCACTAAGCTAGATAGTTGAACTATATTTCTCGGTGTAATCTGAGAGATGATCCATCTTGAAACTGTATCGCTTTAACTCTGTAGCTTCAAATAGATTTTCACAGAGAAACAATGACGAAATGAGCTCGTCTTTGCTGTTTAACGCGCTAAAAGGGACGAAAGATTAGAGAGAGGATTAACGTTCTGCTATTAAATTATTGTTCACAATCTTCGCTTCAATTTGTCATGTTATTATGTTATTATTCGTTGACTACCGTACGTACTATTACTTACGTTGTGGTTAATATCTGTTCGCGTTTTCTTTGTGTCTAGATTTTTTTTTACTTCTTTACCATTTTTCGTTCTGTTTTTTTTTTTACTTTGCTTCGGTCGCTTTTCGTCGTAGTGCGATTAAAGACCTTAGTGGCGGTATTGTGATATTAAGAATTACGAAGTGATTAAGAGAAAGAAGCAAGTGTGTGATTATCGTTAGGATTTAGATTAAAGACGCTCATATATAAAGTTTTCTTCGCGGGGTCGAGAGAAACGAGTTGCGTAGGGATACCAATCCCTTCCGTTTTACCTTTGCGCACAAGAGAGAAAAAGTACATTGAAATTGAAAACCTCTTCGTGGTATACTTACAAAGGGTGGCGACGCTTTAACCGGTAAATCGAATATTTATATCAGAAAGTGAGGTTTCCTTTTACGAACTGAATTACAACAGGATGCGTACCGCAACGAGACTCAATGGAATTAGATTGAACTCGGATTTTTTTGTGATAATGTAGAGCTGTCTCTTTCAAAATCGGCGAAGCAAAAAACCGATGCTGTTGCAATGAAATTCACTGTTTAAGAGAAAAAACTGTATGAAAAGATTTATTTGTATATATTTTTATTTTATACGTTAAAATAAATTATAATTTTTATTGAAAAAGAATCTAATCTTTTTCATATGCTCTGTAATGCTATTTTAAAATTTGTTTCTTGTAATTTCGTTAGTAATGTGTACAATTAACTAATATTTTTTAGTAAAGGATTTCGGTTATGTAATCTCGTATGAAAATTTTCTAAAATTTTTAGAATTTAAAATAATTTAGGATCTTTTTGTGTATTTTCTGATTTCAATGATTTTACAAACTATTTAATTTGTAAAATCTTTTAATTTTACATAATGTGTAAAATAAAATTGGTTGCAATTTATTAAGAAAATCAATTTGATGTTACAATATTTAATTAAAAAAATTTACTTTTCTGAATAATTATTAAAAATTTAAGACAAATGATTATAATTCGTTTAAAATTAGAACTTTAAAATTTGAACAATAGAATGAGAGAGTCCAATCTTAATATAAAAATTCAAAGTAATATACAAACATATTAATTAACTGAATTCTTTTTGTGAATTTTTGTCACAGAAAAGAAACATAAATATCGAACTTTTGGAAATAAATAATTTACGGTGACGAGTTCCAAACTTGTTTCTTGATCATCTAAATGATGGAATAGAACCGGTTAAAGCTCTAAAGGGGGAAGAGACACAATCCCGTCCAAAACATTTTCCCACCATCCTTCAGAGTCGTGCATCTACATCCCCTTACTTCATACGAGGACGAAAAAAGAGAAGTAGCTAGAAAGGTCACGTAAGAATGAGGGACAGCCACATGTAAAGTTAACCGCGCGTTGTAAATTGGACTATCGCATTTGCACGAAGGTGTAAGACTGATTTGCTGATGTAACAAACGAAAGACATAAAGACGTTGGCCCGTCTCAAGCCAACTGGCACTCACAGTACGTATGACCGTAAATTATTGCCCGAGAAGATACTACCTAAGAAAAAGATAAATAATTATCTTGCAGGATATTTATCTTCAATAAACTGATTATTGAAGAGAAAGAAGGCGACGCACGCACATATAAATTATAAATCTAAAAAGATGGATCTCTTTTTTTTTTCGGGCAATAATACTTTACTCATACTGTACTTCAAAATGTACTATTATAATTAGCAGTTATTTGTTAACAACAAACGCTACAAACGACATCGCAAGTCGAAATTGTAGCATTACAGAGTGGTGGAAAGCAATACTCGCGGCCTCGTTTAATCGTTATTAGTTAATTATGAATGTACGGATAAATTGCGAGCGGGTATACATTTTACATATGAAAGATTAATCCTATACAGTATAACACTTCTTTTTTTTATATGAAAATATGAATGTGTCCGCATATATTATATTGTCAAATATATGATATATAATTTATATTATATTGCAAATACCGTTTATATAATATATACACATATATAATGTATTTTATAACAAATTCGAAGTTACTATGCGAAATAAAGGAGTCAAGTGTGGGAGCTATAAAAAAAAAATCACGAAAACTCGTTTTATGATCATTTTATTTATATTCGATTTTATAATTAAATGCGATTTTATAATTAAATTATAATTAACTTGTAACACCTCCAATGAAGTTTTGAAACCTATTGAGGCGTCCGTTTATACTGTCGAGGGTTAAACGTGGATGGAACCATTTATATATATACATGTGCTTTCTAAAATATTATATCGTGATAAACACAATAATATCGAATGTGACAACGGCGGTGGTATCGTCGTTAATCACGTTTTTACAGTATGTGAGAATTTTATTAAAGACGTTATAAAAATTTATCTCATTTTTTTTGTATAGAGTAAGACATAGAAAACAGTACAAGTTTTTTCCTGGAAAAAGAAATAATTATATTATGAAATATATATATATATATCTATAACATTCTCTCAAGGCGTATCTCCAGTGATGATCCTGTGGGAGACACATCGTAAAAGAGAATTGGATGAAGTTCAAATGATAACAAAAATTTAATTATCGATAAGTTACGACGGCGAAAGTTCCGTCGATCTCGTTTGCGTGACAAGGGCGATTAAACAAAAAAGCGCGTTCCCATTGATTGCCTCCATTATTTATCGTTTGTAGCGATTGTTTCTCGACAAAGCGAACGTTAACAGGATCGATCTGTGTTAACGATGTGCGTTACGCGCGCGGATGTTGCAAATTACATTGCGCACCGCAGGACGTACTCCCGTTTACGAAGTAATTGTTTTTACAGACCGTCATGGAAAAATTTCCTGATCTCATGAGCAGGCGAAGGTTTTTCCACCTTTGGCAGTGAAATACGTAAAGGGCTCATGAATATTCTTGAAATATTTATGTGTTTGTAAATGTGCGTAAATAGCGTCGTGACGATCGTGTAAAGTTTATCCCTAAATAGTATAAAACAACTTAAATATGTACGGAAGAGTCAAAAAGAGAGTCTAAATTTTCGTTCCAAATTCTCTTCTGGATATTTGAAAATTTCTTAAAAAATTTTATAACAATCAACATGATAAGCAGAGCTGATAATTTTTTTCTTAATTTTCTTCATATTTTAGACATGGAAAGGAAAATTCCTTTTTATACTGTTTAGGGTTAAATGTTAAATTACTACGAAGACAAGGATTGATGAAAATACACTCCTCATGGCAAGAGGGTGGAAATGAGAACGAGTTTCTTGTATCGCGAGGGTAGAGAGGAAGAGAAAGAAAGGTAGAGAGAAGAGACAGATAATATTTGTAATGTTGCACAGCAACGATTTGCGCGACGCTCGCTGTGCTTTGGATATTTTTGTACCTTGCGCGATATGAAAGTCCGATTACGTAGTTTTCGCGATAGTTTGCTCGCGATTAATGCCGCGGCTTCTCGATACGTTAGTGATCCTTTGCAAACGCATTTTCCCGTATTAAGAAATGCTATGTGATGTTATTTCTAATTTGTAATATCTACGACAATTTATGCTGCGTTTGAGAAACGCAAATAACAGAAAGAAATATATCAGAAGGTGTTGTCGATTTTTCTTACTCCCTGATCCATTGTTACTCATTATCATCCTTCAGAGATTCTGCGAAATCTTCATCCACTTCATTTCCTTTAAAGTAAGATAAGTGAGTACGAGAGTAAAACGAGTAAAAAGATTATTTTGCAATTATTAAAATATTATATATGCAAACAATATTCTCGATAAAATGAAGATATATTAATAAAATTACGATGCAAACTGTTTTTAAAATAAAGTTATGTCGAGAAGATAAATGTAAATATAAATGTGACACATGATCTATGATTTTTATAAAATTGAGATTGAATTATCAGTTAGGTTTACGCAAAGAGCAACTGAGTGCAACTTGAATTAAACATTAATTATTTTACTTCACATTAGAAGTCATATTAGAAATTCAGATAAAATGTCTGATTCTCATTTTAAAGGAGTTCTATAAAAAGATCGAATTTTAATATATTTATATTTATTAGCATTTGTTATTAATAGCATT